GCATCCCTCGGGGAAGGAGGGAAAACCTCTTCATTCTTCTTGCATATGGTTCAACTGCCCATATTGTGAGTACTGACAGCGGCAAGTATCTGCCTGACCTTGCTTGCTGATCTGTGTAATTTTACCATAATTCGTCCCCCTCGTGGCACATTTTAACAAACAGAAGGTAGCTTTATTACAGGGCTTTTTCTGAATCGATAGTACTGCTGCCATTGCAAAACTACATGTTACATTTTGTTTCTATTTGAAATATTGAGGCTTCACTTGAAGATAGGGGATGAAATCCTGGTCCTACTGAAGTTTTGTTGTTCTTTGACAAGACCAGGGTTTAGCCACCGGCTCTTTGCGTTACACAAGTGCATGTTAGACAGAAGGCCTGTCTTATCAGAGCCAGGAGTCAGGATCCTAGTTATCGAGAAAGCACTGCTCTAATGTTGCTGGCTAAGAGCATGGCTGATTAAAGTTACAGTATTATAAAGTATTTTAGATACCTTATTAAGTATTGCCATAAATGCACGGAATAAAGTGATGTTCTAGGAGCGCCTGGGTGAGCAAATTGGAGAAATAGGGGTGAGTCATAACAGGAGTTCAGGATTCAAAACATGTCATGCAAAGCAGTACAAAGACATTCAGTTAACCTCTCATGTCCTGATAACGATGTTGGAAATTCTTTTGTGCATTGCAATATTGGACTTATGCCTGGTGGGGAAGCTAAGCTTACTTCTTTTGATGTATCTATGGCAATTCTATTTAATCAGTGGTTTGGATATCTCATTTTAGATATCTAAATTGGAAATTTTTTGCAAATACCTGCAGTTATGAAATACCCTGTGATCTTCAGGATAGGATAAAATTTTGCATTTCTTACCCATCTGGACTTAGGAGAGATGAATTTCATGCCTTATAGGAATTGCAGGTTTCATCTTTAGAATGCATTTCTTCAACTGGAAATCAGCCAGGTTAGATTTACATTTAAAAAAAAAAAAAATTCAATTTTTTAAAGCCCCTTCTATTAAGGAATCAAAGGGTTTGATTGGCTAGAAAAAAATTAACTCACTCTTTTTTCTTGTTTCCACTAGAGAGAAAGACGTTTTCACACAGCATCTCCCATTGCCCTGTACCTCTCATTGCCCTGTAATAAAGTAAAGTTCAAATCTATGTAAGAAAATGTTATTCCATGATTCTTCAACTAGAAATGTGGCTCTCAACACCACCCCGCTACGGAAGATTCCTATCTGCCTTTTGGCACGCTGTGTCAGGTTTCTCAGGCAAGCTGGGAGATTATCTCCTGAGTACAGACCACAAGGGAAATCCTAGCTCTGTTGAAATCAATGGAGTTTGGCTGTTGGCCTTAAAGGAGCTAGCAGTTGAGTCTCTTTTAGGTTAGCAACATAGCAAACAATTTGTTTTAGAAATATTGTCTACTCAAGGCTCCCTGAAGGTCGTCCCGATGTCCATGCTCACCTGCCATTCAGACCATGAGCTTCCACTTGTGACCTGAATTGTTTCACGCATGCTACCACCTCCAGCGCCCACCCACCCGGGTAGATAAATCGGTAAGGACATCCGACAAGCAACTGTCAAAGAGCCTGAGAGACAGCGTGGGGGTGGCAGGCAAAGGGGAGGTAAAGCACGTCACGGTTGCGGTCGCTCCCTGGAACGCTCTGTCAGAACACTGGAGATAGAGCTGCTACCTCTGAGCACGACTGCCGGGAGCTCCCCGCATGCCAGTCTCTTCAGGGAGCCTCACTGAAGTGAAGGGATCTCTAACAGCATAGCTATACTATGCAGAGAAAGAGATCAGAGTGATCTCCCGAGGTATGGCAGGCCTGAGCACCGTGTGGGGCACTGGGATCTGTCTGCAGGACGCTCCTTGCAGGACTGCGGACTGTATCGATATTACACTTAGCACGAGGACTTCTGGTCCTGAATGGGACCCCTGGGCATTGATGCACTATAACAATTAAATAACGATAGTAATAAAACTTGCCTGCACAGTAGCGTACATTTCATGCAAGCTGAGCTGGCATCATAGGTAAAGCAGTTCTTCCACCTTGTGGTTAGGCAGACTACTACTGGCAGAGTTTGTACACCAAAAATCGCAGACTGCGATCGAATCGAATCGAATACTGCTGTTGCACAGACCCAGCGCACAGAGGGCTACTGCAATCACAGGACCCCTCTTACAGACCAACGCTACAAATATTAACTAGCCCTGTCTTGTAAGGTGAGCGTGTGCGTGTGTAGACTTACACATGTGTGTACAAACGAATAGATTTGTAATGCCCTCTAGCGATCCCAGCCCACAGATGCTCTGCGACCTGGTGTAACGAGCTAGAGTTTCTCCTTCATCCTCCTTGTGAAAAAAAGGCCTTTATTCAATGCAACATGCAAGCTTTGACAGACTGATAAAGCGTACTGGTGTGGGAACAGAGTGTGAGCCTGTCACAGATGTGGAAAGCGTCATCTCTTCAAATAGAGATTGCAGCCAGTTTCTGCCAGCAATGCCACCAGAACTAAAAGGACCCATTTGGAGGCAGTGAAAAATTCCTCTATGCTTCTCTCCCCATTTCTACTCTCCACCCCTATTTTCTGCTTTTTACCTCTGGCTATTGCAGCAATCATATAGTCTTTGTTGTTCGCATCAGGGTACAATTCAGCGTGATTGGGTCCAGTGTCTGTAGTCAGCTGCCACAGAGCGAAGCCCCATTTCAAAAGCAGTAATTAAATGTCAACTTTGTACTAATGCAATAGAGGTATATTGAGATATATAATTTTGCGGTAAATGCTGAAGAATTGCACTGTGTGAAACAGTGGAACACATTAGCTAACAAACTTCAGAGCCAGTAAGTTAATATTAATGTTTTTAATGGTGCTAAATGACACTATTTCCAAAGCAGGATTAGCTTGGTTATATAAGAGGGACTGACTTGGTTCAAAGAAGAATAGCAAAACATGAAAAGAACAAGCTGTTTAAAATCTATATCTGCTTCTCAGATGTTGCTCTTCTCTCAAGAGCAGTTTATTAATTACATGCTGTCCTCCTCATCATCGTCATTCCAGTTGTACCTGCTGGCATCACTCTAAACTGAGTCCTCTCACAGTAGTAGGTGCTTCCCAAACACAGTGTAAAAATCAGCCCTAGTGTATCAAATTCCTTTTTTGTCACTCAGTCTGCAATTGGCTGCCAAAAGAGTTCCCTAAGATAAACTGTCAAAGCCAGGGAGTCACATCAGACCAAAATTTGACCCAGTGTCTCACACAGCTTTACTGGAGTAATTCCCCAATAACTGTAACTTCAGTTTCTTTTGCTCTTCTGTTCTGCGGAGTGACAGCTGATTATACAAAGGAGCTGAACTTGGCTCCTCTCTCTCTATTTTTTTACTTAATTGGCAAAACAGGGTTTTTTTCACTGTAAGGTCCTAAGAAAGCTAGCTTTCATCAACCATTTTTTCTATCTAGAATTGAACTTCAGTGGCAAATTTCAGCCGTAGGACTGTACCCTCTTCACCCCAAATGTGTTGCTCAGACCCAGAATGGACAAAATAGAGCTGTAAGCAAAAACTAACGAGTTTCCAGCTTCCACGTCTAAGAATACAATTCTGTGTAATTATAAGGGTCGTTTTTTTACAGTAGGAAGCCAAATTATCTTATTGTCTAAAATGATTTTAAAAAACAACAGGCACCCAAGAAGTCTGACAGGTGCATGCAAAGAATAACAGTCTATTAAATATTTTTACCTATTCTTACGGCACAGATAAAGGCTACAGCACAAAAAGCACATGTGACTGTATCCCACAAAGCCAATTTTTAAGGATAGACTTATCACTGTGGAAGGGAAATAGACTGAGACCATAGAAGACTGACATTAGCTATTTGTCAAAAGAGCAATTACAATAGCAACAGTAGATTGACAAGATTCCCCTCAGACTCTTTCAAAAATGCCCAAGCTTGATTCAGAGATAACACCTTTGAGAAGACACCTTTAGTCTTCATGGGTGGAACTCATCTCTTCTAACATCAGATGTCTAAAATATAGATATCTAGTCTGAAGTGGTCACCTTAGTTCCCTGTAGAGGGAGAGAGATCAATAGAGATAGATACCTCTGGAGGATGACTCATCTAATCTGAAAACAGATGTGTAACATAGGCGGAGTGAGTATTTCTCCAGAGGTGTCCACCTGTATCTCCACTGGCGACAGAGAGTCCACGCAACTACGTAGACACCTGACTTCTAAAGGGCTAAAAGCAGATGAGCCATTTAGATAAGGATAAAGCCACCTTACCCTTCCTAACATAGCATTGATCTGGCATAGCGATGGTATCAGCACCTCTCACAATAGTTTGCCTTATTTTAATAAATGCAACAAATTCTGGCATTTCACTGCATGCTTCTACCATGGATCCCCTGAATCACTGCTGTTGCTTCCTTGCCCACTTCCACAAAACCACTGCTAGTTCTTCCTTCTTTTCCACCTATCGGCTCTGGTAAACCAGGCACAGTGCCCACCTTAGTAAGCCAAAACGATCTTATCAAATCAACTCTGCAAGACAGCATGTCAGTCGGGAAGCAGTTGCTTTATCTCTAATTAGAAATGGGTGGGTTAAAACCAGTTTTGATAAGCTTTGACTAAAACATCCTCAGACCCATTGGTAGATGTCTTCAGTAAACTCCTAGAGGACATGCATGGTTTCAGAAGCCTGGAGAAGGGCAAATACACTGTCCGCCAATTAAAAAAAAAAAAAAAAAAAAAAAAAAAAAAAAAAAAGAGAGAGAAAAAAAAACCAGGAAATCGGAATTAGGAGTAGTGTTTTGATCTCAGAAAAGCAGGGATCAAATAATCAAACAAAGCATACCTAAGTACCTAGAAAATAACAGGGAGATCTGTGGAAGCTGTTATGGGTTTCATAGAGCCTATACACTGACTCTAATTGCTTTGTATTAACACCTCTACCTGCTTCTCTCTTTCCTTTAACTTCTGTTTGCCTTTTGTTTTCAGACTGGTGATAAAGGCCTGGAAAGCACACAGGACATTACGTGACTCTCAGAAAGAAAAACCTTCAGCAAAAAGTCAATGTGAGCATTGTTGGTGCTCCTGCGTGATACAGCGACCTGCTGATGTACCACGACTTCTTTGACACGCAGCACAATGTTACACATTTTCACCAATGTTTCATATTTTATTAGAAGCCTCGCTCAATCTGGGTACGTTAAACGCAGCCTCAGGCGCGCAGTGACTGCTTGACACCACAGGCTGCCATTTTGTGTGGGGGGTGCAGACAGTTCCTTACTGCAGAGAAAGGCCTAAAACATGCCACTATAAAAACACAAAAGCAGACAATAAATTTTAGAGTGTTTACTTATGTATTTATCTCTCGAAACCTCTTAAACCAACGTCACGATTTCTGGTAGCTAAAACGTGCCATCCTCAAAACAACCTACGGCCTCAACACCTCGCCACCGCCCTCCCCAGGTGCCAGCCCGATACCGCATTAAGATGGCGGCCGGGGGACCAAGACTACAACTCCCAGCGCACCACCTCTTCATCTGATTGGTTGCCTGGACCCTCGGGGAGCCAATAAGCCTCAGGGGCCCGTGGAGGATGTAGTTCCCCTCTGGCAGCAGTGCATGATGGGAGTTGTAGGCGCTTTGCCGCCGCGGCGGCGGACGGCGGAGGTTGCGGGGGGACGGCGCCTGCGCAGTGGCGGCGGCGCGTGGCAGGAAGCGGAAGGGGGCGGCGGGC